CGCCTCCCCCACCTGACCCCGCCCCCATACGACACCCTCTTCCCACCGTCCCAACTCCCCTCCATAGCCTTCTAGTAAGTGAGTCGACTGACCCCTTTTGTATTCCTGGTGTTCTGTACATAATAACCCTCACCCCTCCTTACCGCCCCCCTCCCCCCAGCTGTCCTTTCAGGGGGAAAAAGAAAAAAAAATACTACATCCTCTGACTCCCCGAAATCTTGTATTTTGTTCTAATAATGACAAAATTTATTTATAAGGATTTTTTAAAATCTATCTCTTTCTCCTTTTTGTAAATGTTCCAGTTAAATAAAGTTTAAAAATGTTAAAAAATTAAATGGATATATTGAAAGGTTAAAAAAATGTCTCTAGAAGTCCCTGCCCCCTCCTCTGGCTCTGTACTCTGAACTTTGTGTTTTTGTTTTTTCTCTTTCTGTATGCTTCTCTTTACGTGCTTCAGATGAAGAGTTCTATTTATTATGACATTAACGTTATTATAATTATGACTAATTATTAATATTATCATCATCCTCATCATCCTCATTATTATCATTAATAAACTTGTCTACTTCAGCCTCGGTGTCTCTGCGCTGTTTTGTGGTGAGTGATGAATTTCTGCGTGCTCGGGGCAGACTGGGACTCGTGGTAAGACTACAAATCCCACGACACAACATCACTGCAACACCATATGAGATGAGCCAGGTGGAACAGGGAGGGGTGACGCTCCCAGACCCATTTGTCTTATGCCAAAACCCCTCTGGGTTTACAAGATGGAGAGCACCTGTCTGTCGCCGAGGCCGCCATTTACCTAACCGGAGCGAAGACAAACTCTGAGGCTGAAGCCTGCGAGAGGAAAAATATAGACGCACGCCTTCAGGGGGATGGAGGAGAGGCAAAAAACACAAATGTAAATACTTCAAAAGATCAGTGCCTCTCCATCATTGTTGACTTTGTTTAATCCTTTGAGCCTCTACAAACAATGGGAGATGGGATTTTTTTTTTTGTCACAGCCAAAAAAAAAAAAACAGAAAGAAAAATTGACAATCCAGAAAACACTGTTGTTATTTGTGTCGCTGCTCCACCGCATCAGAATGTGTTCAATGCGGTCTGTGCAATAGGTGAATGTGCTATGCATCCTCTTTTGTTTTTAAGCCCGAGGCCCCCGCTGAAACCACTGACTTTTAGGTCTTTCATCATTTAGATTGAGCGATCAGAAGCAGGGTTAAAAGGGAGCGGTGTTAATGTTCAGGCTGTGTACTGTGTCCAAACACACTCCTCAGTCTTAAATACATTTCTGCCAACTGAGAGCAGACATTCTCTTCAGTTCTTCTTAATTAAGCTCCTCTGGCTATGAGATCTAATGTATACTGCAATAAGGAATCACCTGGTTCAACACTGCATATAAATGGTACACAACCTAACCCATTCCCATACTAATAATAAACATGTACAGTAAACTAATAGTTCCAGATTCTGAGGAGCCAAACGGACGTTCCTGTGTTTTCACTGCAGATCAGGCAAATTAGTCCAATGACTTAAATGTTGTTTAAGACAATTTACACATTTATGTCATATGTTTTTCTGTCTATTTACTTTGGCATTTGACATTTACTGGAGGAAATGAACTGATGCAAAGGACAGTGGCGCCCACAGAATGTTTTAATGGGGGTGGCCAGATGGGGTCAGAGTAACAGACGACCAAAAGTGGCCGGCTGGTTATGCATTTGTTATTTTATTTCATTTGAAATATTGAATAAAAGGAATAGTCCCTAATGTGAATTATCAGATAGAAGTATGTTATGCATACAGTAACTCAAATGTGCCGTGGCCGTGCCCCCCACACCCTGGCGGCGCCCCTGGAAAAGGAGACAGAAACCAAAGTGTGTCTGATGGTGAGTTTTCTGCTTTAATATTAAACCACATTGAAACAATTAGCTAACAACGTTTTGTCGCTCTCTCTGATATATCCAACTAACATATACCAGAAAATTAAAAGTAAGTTCCCAATTAGAAGCAGATCTGTTTTACTAGCCTGGTGTGGCTACATGTTCTAACAAATAAATGCAGGCCTCAATTAGAAACCTGCCCACCGGCTCGCCCACTTGAGTGAGTTCTAAGCTGCTTAGA